ATCTCTGTTGCCGTTCGTCTTTTCGCTAAAAATATAAAATATAAAATCCCCAACTCACCAATATCTTAGAAGTTTGAGTCATGTAAAACAATTTATTAATTTCAAGTGGCCTAAAGGATGTTGCGCCTTAAGCAATAAAGATTCATCAGGATCCTGAGCATTAAGTGGTGTTTTGGCCAACACTCCGGGATATACACAACTTGAATCAGACCCAGGGCCCTGGGAGAGTGATCCCAACCGTACTCTCCACTACGAATATATCGTATAATGTGACAGTAAATAAATGATTATGACATGAAATGTGAACATAAATTTTGTTTCTTGCAGTTTTTATTTAAAAGCTGGTTTAATTAAAGGGGTAGTTCACCCTGAAACTGCAAAAATATATTGTAGAGCTGGGGGGTACCGTCGGACTGGTGCCAGCTTTGTAAACAGCTCTCCACAGTCACCATGCGTTGTGTGTTATTGTGCTGTATTCTATGTCAGGCGTAGTGTTTAAATGTTAATCGTTGTATAAAGCATCGTATGTGTGATCGGTGGCCTGTATTACGAAGCAGGGTTACTGGCTTATCGGGATAACTTTGCGAGTAACTTGATGACGTGTGGTGTAACTTCACGATTAACCCGTACTACGAAAGGTGGGTACTCGAGGCATGCTGCTAAGGCAATTTACGCTAAGTCTCAAACCTGCTCCGAGCAGTTTTTCTTCTTGGTTAAGTCGAGGTTTCTGCGTAAGCCAGCCATATGAGCACCGCCCCTCCGACTGGATGATCCATACGACATTAGCTCGCTAATCGTGAGGGGCTCTCTCTCTCAATATGTATGAAATGGAGCAAATGGATATAATATGCATACAATGCATTAATTAATAACTGTTAGAGAGAAAGTAATTCTGAAAACCATTCTGTGAATTTTAATAATAATTATATTAATAACTGAGGAACCAAGCACACACAAAGCAGAGGCTGGCCACAATTCTGAAAACCATAGAATAATGTATTATCACAAGAACCGGGGCAGAAAGGGGCCAAACAGTAAAAAAAATACAGGCTTTTAGGATTCCTCTGGAGATGATTCAGCTATGAACAACTGTAGAAGTATTTGTGGATGTAAAGTATTTTGCTGCCATGTCATCCTGATTCCAGCTGTATCAGTAGGGCATTTTTGGAAGAATATGTTCCAGTAGATAAATATATACAGGGTGTCTACTGGGCATTAAAAATACTTCAAATGTCTCAGATTTGAATTGAAGCAATTATGGCCTTGAAAATATCATTTTAAACTTGATTTGACTAGGTCTTAATTTTTTTCAGGTTGTAAATGTTCACAATGGTCTACCCTTATCCATGGTTTTGCTTTCCGTGGTTTCCTGAAAAATTTTATTGGAATTATGTCTATAGTTCTTAATCTTTTATCGCCTAATTTATAAAATCAACTTTATCACAGGTATGTATAGGAAAAAACATAGTATATATAGACTTTGGTACTATCCCTGGTTCCAGGCATCCGCTGGGGGTCTTGGAACATTTCCCCCATGGATAAGGGGTGGCTACTGGATTTAGTCTAATGTTGAAAAATATTCAAGTTTAAATGTGACTGTCTCTAAGGGATATACTACCAAGTCTGTTTTTAATCACAGACCTTAGATGTTGACATGCAGAGATGCACATACTGATAATTTTTGCATTTCGAGTCCTTTCATCATGTTTCGTTGTGCATGCAATTCATTTTTAATTAATAATAGAATGTTTGCACTTCATGTTCGCTTGCTTACAGGTACTGGTGGTGAATGGACACTGCAATTACTAATAATGATGTACAGAAATACATAATCAGAAAATCAAGTGGTGCACATTGTTTCCCATCGTACATTGCTTTAAACCAGACCTTGATGGACATGTCTATATCATCTAGCATTATACTTAGTCCATTAATTCTACCACTTTGAATGCTTAATTGAGCATGGATGTTGTTCTAAAATATGTCAACACGTTTGTGTTTGTGTGTGTGTGGGCGGGGTGTATATATTACATTGTGGGGACCAAATGTCGCCACAATGTTATAAAAACCTGATATTTTGATGTGGTATTAGGATTGCTACTGTCCCTGTTTGGCCAGCAGGTGTCGTTGGCCACCCTGTTCCCTCCTCTGTCTTGTAGCCATTAACCTCTAGTATGTTGACCTGCTCCCTGGGCCATCAGGTGGCTTAATGGGCTAAGTGGTTAGCCACCGTTCTCTAACTCCAGAGGTCAACAAATTATCTAATGTTTCTTGGTTTTGTGTTCTTCTGGTTTAACATTTGTATAGGCATTTCAGTTACTGTTCCTTGTTTTTCGTTCCATGTTCCCGGTTCATTCGTTTGTTCTTGTTCTACTTTTCCTTGATGTTCGGTTCTTTCCTATATCTGTTAATTTACTTTTCCGTGCCTGTTGATTGCAAAATGTACTACACCTGTTCCTTGTTGCCCTGAGTCTTTCGTGATTGGTTATTTGTTATGGCTCTCATTTGTTTCCTGTCTAGTCTTGATATCAGTGTATTTAAGCGCCTGCCTATTTTTGATTCCTAAGTCAGTTGTTGTAGTTGTTACTTTGTGTTTGTAGCTATGGTTGTCTACCTTCTTGCTCCCAGTTTGATTGTGTTTCCTGATTGTGTTTCCTGATTGTGTTTCCTGATTGTGTTTCCTGATTGTGTTTCCTGATTGTGTTTCCTGATTGTGTTTCCTGATTGTGTTCAGTTGTGCTACTTTGTCATTACCTTATCATCGATGCCACATACGATGTTCTGCCCTCTCCCTCAAACTTAAATCTCTGGCTGGGAAAAGATCTGGCTGCTCCAGCTACCCTTATGCACATCTTGGTCAGATGCAAGACCAGCCTAACCAGTGGCATAGAAATACATGGTGTGTAAGGTGCATATGCGCCCCCTGTCACAAATATGTAAATTTTACAACAAAAAATTTGTATGTAAAATTCTGAAATATTTACACTTAAGACCTGTGTTCCCCATCATTGTGAAATCCTGTCATTAAAACACATGCTATGCTCATGATTAGGAGTCTACTTACTTTTTTATACATCTTGCAGTAATTAGTAATGGTTTTCATGCACGCTCATGTATTGTAAGGAATTAAAAATTGCACACCAAATAGACCATCAGTTTACTGTATTTTCAATTTCAACATCAATCTGAAGTTCAGTTTTCAGCAATTAAAAGTAAAATCAATGTAATTACAATGAATTAGCATAAATGTCTGCGGTTATGCACCATAATTAAAAATACAGTTTATTGTTAAAAACCTGTTCTAAAGAAACACAAAAATAGGTTGGGCTGTGCTGCAGTTGAGTGTCCTGGGAACTAGTATGTGAGAAGCTGGATATGCATGGTCCCCATCCTCTGTTGAAAATTCCTGGCTACGCCACAGAGCCTAAGGCAAGGCAGATACATCTGGTGAATCTGTGCCCACTGCAGCCTGAGCAGAACTGATTTTGGCTGACAGGATAAAAAACCGACATGGTCATCCAATGTTGTAGTCCAGGGGTCTCCATAAATGTTTCCTTCAAAGCTATAACGTCTTGTGCCTTTTACTTTGAAGTGTGTGTCACGCGGGCACGCCTTCGTAGGCGTGGTAAAAAAGTGGAAGCGCGCGGTTGAGAGACAGAAGTGGGTGGCGGTTTTCCTTGTAGGGTCCACGCGCTTATGTGTTAACAGGGGAAAAACGCATTTTCTTTTCCTCCAGAACCCTAAATTAGGTTCACGGAGCCGTGTTTGCGGTTTGCCTCGTATGCGGTCGCGAATTGGTGAAGTTGCAGTGCGGCAACGCGTTTTTTTGTCGAGTGGAGAAGCCGACGACGGAGCGGGTGGCGGAGTAACCGAACTGGCCGGGAGCTCAGGCTGTGTCCGGAGTGCGCGGATGGATTCTCCCACTTCGCCGTAATAAGCAGGAAAAGGATAAGTAATATTTGGCGTTTTTCTTCTGGACGGTACTGAAGTAACTGAGCGTTGTAAGCGGTAATTTCTAGCGCTCAATTGGGAACCCGCGGAACGCTGACGCCCGCCATATTCGTCTGGGACGGACTTTTCCTTGCCCTGCCATACAGCCAGTATTACAATTGAGGAGGGATGTCATCCCCCCTCTAAAACGATCATCCCCCGTTCCATCCCTTGTGCTATTTTATCAATGAATGCATAGGTTTATTGAGTAAATTACCGTTTAGCGAGAGGGCAACTTTTAAAAAATATTTACCTCAGTAAGCGGCATAGCAGGTGACGGTGTTGATGTGATTTTAACATCATGGCCAAACGGCATGGACAGCTCGATCTGAGGGATATCGGATTTAAAAAGAAAAAAAACTAAGTATTTCAGGTAAGTCAAGAATCAGAAATATCAGGTCACACTTTTTATAAGCCTACTGTTGGCTGCTAACATACCAACTAGGCGAAGTGCGGGAGGTACCACGCGGACGCGCAAGATTTCCAATTATCTCAGTTTCTTTTATTTGCAGATACAAAATGTCCTTTAGATCCATTTACGATCAACTACATCATATGACTCAAACCGTGCAGTGTCAGGTATCAGAGACATAAAAACATTGCAGAAACTCCGGTACAAAATGCGGTCAACAAAAATGTGCTCCCCCTACTTGCCTCTTTCTCCCTGTACAGGTGATTTCCTTTACAAATTAATACCGACACCCATACTCACGTGACTTTAACACCACAAGTAAAAGCCAAAATAAAAGCCCAAGTGCAACATACATATGGCCGTTACACCTAACATTATGTTACCAAAGGTGTAATCTATGGACATAGCAATAACAACACAGTTAATGATGTTTACAGCTAATGACAGGAGTTTCTGACACGTAACATCCACACCATGCATGTTGTTTTAGGATATTAGAATATATTAATTATGTTTTTGCTTAAACAACAATAAAAAGGGTACACAGTTGGTCTCCCACCATGTGCACTGTCATCAGCACAGAATATGTCTGATAAAATTCACCATCCCCCTGATTTGTTTTTACAACTCGATTACTGCATACAGCCATCCTCCAGATCCGCAGCTCATTGGTAATTCTATTCTATTCTAAACAGTCCAGCTATTGTTGTATGTCGCTATAAAATGTGAAGGCTGATTCTATGAATATGTTCGAATATATTCCCCGAGTAATCTACCTGAAGGGAATCGCTACTGATTTTTTTTTTTTTGTTGTTCTTGATTAACTATAGTGAAGTTTATTTACTTTGGTTTGAAACCAAAAAGAACAGACTTCTGTTGGTTTATGTGCTTTTATTTTTTCAGTATATACCTGTATCAGTAAGGTTAAAGTTTAAGTGTATGTCTTATTTCACTGAGGAATTGTTGACTTTTACCCTTGAACCTGTTGGAAAGAAAAAGGGTTACATAAAAGGAAAAAGAATATGCTTTTACCGTTTACACTCTTGTATTTTCTAGTGTTATTATTAGTTACCTAGGAATTGGAGCGCCTCATCCATCCTGCTGGATCTGGTAAAGGTGGGTCCATTGTTATGTCTGATAAACGTTCTAGCATACATCACACACGTACGTGGGCCTCCTTGTCTCCTACATCCACTGAAGCCTACCTTTCCACATATTTAGCAAACACACCCACCTTTTGGAGCTTTGCAGCAAGACAGGCACAAACATACTCTCACCTGAGAGTACTGAGGATAAAAGCAGAGTGTGGCGACTCGCATCCTGATATCTACCCTGTGCTGTCCTCACGACACGTGACTATGTGCAACTAGACAGCCAGCGAACAAAAATAAAAAGGTCTCCCCTCAAGGCTTGCTTTCTTGATTTCAGAGAAGATATTTATAAATGCCTTTTTATTATTTTATTTTTGTTCGCTGGCTGTCTAGTTGCACATAGTCACGTGTCGTGAGGACAGCACAGTAAAAAGACAAAAGTTTCCCAAGGCATCAGCACGCAAAGTCCACCTAACACAAACATGAGCTGATCCCTCACCCACCTCTGCTGAAAACCCGATCAGAAGCTCCCCGAGAAAACACCAAAGAAAATCATAGCGAGAGTGCTTACTCAGTCTCGCAACACACAGGCTTTCCAAAATAGCGCCCTTCTTTACATGTGGCCGGTCGGTGCAACTGCACCTCACTAACTAACTTCAATATAATTGACAGAAAGGCATCACATACCCAGTCTTCCTTGGTAATCCCTACACATATACAAGGCAGTGCAGTACACACCACCGCCACACACTGTTAAAACTATGTGAATGTGGCCTCTCTCTAAATATAATATTGTACTGAACTCGCCCTTCATAAAGTATTGATTTTTGAAATTAAGATTAAAACTGGTTTACTTGATGACAAGAATTGCCATAATCGATCAGTTAGTCGTGGTGGCTACTACACAGCGTGGATGCGCTGGATGAAGTGATGATTCGTGACTTGGCTGGCCTGTGAATGCCTTGGTATTCCCTCAGTGGAGCTGGCTGATGAGAGGGAGATCTAGGCATCCCTGCTTAGACTGCTGCCCTGGGACCTGACCCCAGGTAAGCAGCGGATAATAGTTGGATGGGATGGGCTTTAGTACATATTAAATTGTGGATATAAAATATCAATTGGATAGACACACCGACCTACCTACCTACCTACCTACTTACTTACTTTAATAATCCCAGAGGGAAATTCTAATTTCCAGTAGCTCCATACCACAGTGGTATAAACGTAAATGGTAGAAAAAACACACAGAAAAGACGTACTTGTAGCTGCCTATACTACCTCTGTGTCACCCCCCTCAATCTGAACTGGCTGAGGGCATGGTTTAGACTTCCTGTAGTCTATGACGAGCTCTTTGGTTTTGCTAGTGTTGAGCTGCAGGTGGTTCAAACGGCACCAGACCACAAAGTCCCTCACCAGACCTCTGTACTCCTCCTCTTGATCACCCCTGATGCATCCGATGATTGCAGTGTCAACAGCATACCTCTGAATTTGACACGGCTCAGAGTTGTAACTGAAGTCTGTAAATGGAAAACGGAAGGGGGGCCAGCACTGTCCCCTGAGGTGCACCCGTGCTGCTGACCGCAGTATCAGATGTGATGTTGTTCAACCTGACCTACTGTGTCCTGTTGGTAAGGTAGTCCAGTTTCCATGTCACCAGGTGTGAATCCACCTGCATCCTGGCCAGTTTGTCCTGTAACATCGGGGGGTGGATGGTGTTGAACGTGCATGAGAAATCCAGAAACTCTAAGTTCTTACTCTGTTCTTGTCCATCAATGTACGCTCTGACTTCCTCTTGTAGGTATCCTTTGCCCCTCTGACACTGCTTCACTTCCCGCTGTGCTGCCTTTATCTCCTCCTTAACTTTATCAATTACAAAGATGATATACATTATTTTAATCATCCAATGATTATACTGTTACAGATTTATTCCAGTTATTCTCCCAATGGGCAGCAGCAGTCTGCTTATAGCCAATTGAGTACAGATGTGCTCCTCAGCATCCAGATGTCTCTCTAAGGCAAGGTGCAGAACTTCCTGTTGCTATCACAGTCTCAGAAAACAACAAACCGACAACAGCAGTAGCAGAAGACCTCCACAACTGTCCTTCAGCTGGTACTGGAGACAGTCAGCTTGTCTTCCAGCACCCCCACCCCAATATTCACCAAAGCTGCCTGCCTGCGTAGTAAAAAGAAAGTACTGTACCTGAGCTGCTGTGGAACGCAGAGCCCTGGGTCTCTACAATCGACCGGGTGGGCAGAGGAATGCTCTCTTCCAGACTGGCCTCCCTTGGGTGGGGCTGGGCCTGTGACGGAACAACATCATCGGGACCCGAAGGCTGCAGGGCTCGGCGCAGGCAGGCATGGGCTTCAGGGGTGGCGTGGAGCACCAGCAGCAGCCAGGCCTGCATCACCAGCACCTTTTCCAGCATCTGATCCTCCCAGCTGGGGGACTGACCACAGCAGAGGAGTAGCTCATGATGAGCAGACTCACAATCCTATATATCCACAGTGGCTGCCCCCGAGCCAAGCCACAGGTCAAGGTCATCAGCACTGCTATGAACAGGGCCAGGCCGTACAGGCAGACCAAGCTGATACACAGCGGCTGGTGCTGACAGACCAGCTGGTCTGAGTGCAGTGCAATAGCCAGGATCCACTCAACAATGGCGATACTCAGCACTACGGGGCAGGCGTGGGCCTCAGGAATGGCGTGCAATAGCAGTAGCAATCAGGCCAGTGCCACCAGCATCTCCGCCTGCAACTGGTCCTCGTTGCTGGAGGACAGGCCACCCTGCAATTTCATGGCGCGATAGTACCGGGCCAGACAGATGCCCCACATCATCCCAGAGATGAAGCTCATGATTAGCAGACACATGACCCTGAACCTGGACCCTGAGCCAAACCACAGGCCAAGGTCATTGGCACTACTATGAGCAGGGCCAAGCCATATATGCAGATCAAGGCAATTTGCAGCGGATTGTACTGACAGACTGGTTGGCCTGGGTGGAGCACAATTGCCAGGATCCATTCAATAATGGCAATACCCTGCATTACGGCCAAGCCCATTGCCAGCACCGCCAGGGCCCTGAAGCAGGAGCGCCTGAACAATCGCACACCATGGGAAGTTAGGTATGCGATGCTCAGGACATATAGCACCCCCCAGAGGGCGTGTCGTGCAATGCATACGTGCTCTTCACTCTCAATGACATGCATGAAGCTGACGGCACAGAGCATGATGATGGTGGCAAGGAGCAGGAGCAGCGGTGCCACCCCACTGCGTGCCTCAGCCTCTGTGATGCGCTGCAGGCGGCACAGCAGCACCAGGGCCAGGATCAGTGAGGCCAGGACTGCCATGCCTGCCACTGCCACACCCCACACTGCGTCCAGGTCATATACTGCAGTGAAGGGCCTCTTCAGGAGGGAGCCACAGCCTCCAGGAGAAGCCTCATCCTCTGCAAAGCTGCTGCCCGCCAGGGAGAAGTTGAGGAGGATATGGAACACGGAAGGGAATGCCATTGCTGACACAGACGACAAAAACAGTGTACCGCTGTGTGGGAATCACTTTCTTGAAGCAATAGTGTGATAGATTGCCCATATCACAAGAGAAGTGAAGCTCGTGAAGAGCACACAACAGGTCCGGGATCTCCACTCTGGCTGCCCCCGAGCCAAGCCACAGGCCAAGGTCAGTGGCACTGCCATGAGCAGGGCCAGCCCGTACATGCAGACCAAACCGATACGCAGCGGCTGGTACTGGCAGACGGGCTGGCCCGGGTGCAGTGCAATCACCAGGATCCATTTGACAAAAGCGATACCCTGCATTACCGCCAAGCTGATCATCACCCCCGCCAGGGGTCTGAAGCAGGGGCATTGGAGAAGTCACACACCCTGGGTCGCTTGGTATGCCATCGTCAGGACAAACAGTGCCCCCCAGAGGGAGTGCCGGGCAATGCAGACACTGTCGTCCCGCTCGATGACATACGCGACGCTGACGGCACAGAGCATGCAGATGGTGCCGAGGAGCAGGAGCAGCGGTGCCACCCCACTGCGTGCCTCAGGCTCTGTGATCCGACGCAGGCGGCACAGCAGCACCAGGGCCAGGAGCAGCGAGGCCAGGGCCGCCCAGCCTGCCACCAATGTCACCGCCATGCCCCACACTGCGTCCAATTCAGGAGGGAGCCACAGCCTCGAGGAGAAGCCTTATCCTCTGCAATGCCGCTGCCCACCAGGGAGAAGACAAGGAGGATACGGAACACGGAAGGCATTGCCATTGCTGACAGAGAGAGAGACGACAAAATCATTTTATGGGTGGATCAGGCATTAGTCCATTATAAACAGTGTACCGCTATGTAGGACACATCACCTGTGACAAACTGACTTTTATGACATCTGAGCAAGATGGTATTAATGTTTACTGACTGCAAAAAAGTGAATTGTGAGATGAGCAGGTTTCTACAGTTTAGGGAAAAAAATGGAGAAGCAGAAGGAAACATCCCCCCCTTAACTTTGGTGCCGTCTGTTGATAAAAAACAAATTAAAATCATTTTTCTTAATTCCCACCAATTATTTTGCTATTAGGCCACTTGAGTACAAAAGTGTAGTACAAGTCCGACGTGCATTGCTTTTGTATCAAGCGGACTAGCGTTTTCTTTTGTACTAGTTTTTTTTTTTTGTACTTTTAATCACAGACCTTTGATGTCCATGACCAGAGATCCTGCATTTTCATGGCCCCATAGCATTTAGCCAGATACATGGCCCACATCATGCCAGAGGCCAAGCTCATGGTGAACAGACACATGAGCCTGAACCTGGAATGTGGCTGCCCCGGAGCCAAGCCACAGGTCAAGGTCATCGGCACTGCTATGAACAGGGTCAGCCCGTACATGCAGACCAAGGAAATTTGCATCGGCTGGTACTGGCAGACCGGTTGGCCTGGGTGGAGCGCAATGGCCAGGACCCAGTGAAAAATGATGATGCCCTGCATTACAGCCAAGCCTATCACCAGTGCTGCCAGGGCTCTGAAGCAGGAGTGCCTGAGCAATGGCACACCCTGGGAAGTTAGGTATGCGATGCTCAGGTGATATATTACCCCCCTGAAAGCGTGTCGAGCAATGCACACACGCTCCTCACTCTCAATGACGTGCACGAAGCCGACGGCACAGAGCATGATGATGGTGGCGAGGAGCAGGAGCAGCGGTGCCACTCTACTGCGTGCGTCAGGCTCTGTGATGCAGCACAGCAGCACCAGGGCCAGGATCAGTGAGGCCAGGACCACCACGCCTGCCGCCACTGTCACTGCCATGCCCCACACTGCGTCCAGGTCGCACAGCGCAGTGAAGGGCCTCTTCAGGAGGCCACAGCCTCGAGGAGAAGCCTCATCCTCTGCAGAGCTGCAGCCCACCAGGGAGAGGATGAGGAGGATATGGAACACCGAAGGCATTGCCATTGCTGACACAGAGAGAGACAAAGAAATCATTTTTGGTCTGAGCAACATGTCATCAGTGTTTAACTACTGTAAAAAAACTGGCAAGGAGCAGGAGCAGCGGTGCCACCCCACTGCGTGCCTCAGCCTCTGTGATGCGCTGCAGGCATTGCAACCTTAACTCCTATTATGCCCTAACCTTAACCATAAATAACCAAACAAAATACAAGTCTTTTGGCAGTTGTAGTTTTTTGATTGCAGTAATAGATTTCTATAAAATGGAATTTACCCTTGTGAGCACTGAAAAAATGCCCCCCACAACATGAAAATAATAGATTTTTAATGTATATCTAACCCACAAACACAGTGGGCTTTTGGTCCAGATAGCCCCCTCAGCCCCACCCATATAGTCCTGCATAGACGTCCGTACATCCACCTTTATTTAGTGGCGTGTAAGAGTGTTAAAACAAATATCTATAGTTTACCCATAATTTTCTTTCTAACCTCTACATCACTGCTCCTAACTCACGGCCTATTTTGTCTGGGTTAGACACCATGCTGACCGTGAGCCTGTACAGGATATGCAGATTTAGAAGATAGGAGGGTGGGCTGCTATGGGAGCATGACAACATGTCAGTAATTTCTACTGGGGGGGGGTTCATTACCGCTTTTAAAGATCAAGCCCACGACTTATTGTGCTTGATGACTAAGTCAGGTGTCTGCTTGCACTTACTGAGAAATGGGTGGGGGGGGACGACATACTAGGGAAGTGGAGTCTATTCAGCAGTCACTCTCATCACTGTACAACTGTACTTGCTGTCAGCAGGAGGCCGACTGGGCCTCCATGGCCCTTCTAGGTGTCAGTGTGGGGAAGACACATCATGCAGAGAGACAGCGAGTGAAGTCACTTGTCTTAACTGCAACAATGGAACTGGGACACAAAACAGCCATTGGACTCATGAGTCATGACAGGTAAAAGCACAGTCAGCGCTTTTATAGAATTTGTGTTATGCTTACACGCACCAAACGTTTTTTTTGTACAAATTATTTTGCATTTTACAAGAAGTAGAAAGTAGTTTTGCTTTCCATTACCTGCACCTTCATAATGCCTTTATAATGCGAAGAAAAAACTTCTTTACTAATTATTTCAAATTATACAGGAAGTAGGAAGTAGTAGTTGAAATATATATAATATTTTTAGCAAGAGATTCAAGAGTTATATTACATATTATTTGCAATTCTTTAGAGTCTTTTACATATGACTCTCCTTGTATTCTCTCTCTCTATTTTGTTTTAATTAAATGACAGCAATTACGTAGATTCACATGCTGTGATAATGTGTGCACTAATTGATAATTTACAATAATACAGTCTATCCAGCTATGGGGTTTTGTTGTTTGAATAACCAAAAGTGCACCTCTGAATGCATAAAAAATATACTAATCTAGCTTCAACAAAACAATAAGAGGCATCTGAATATTAACCCTGACATTCCAGTCATTGACTAACCCTGATTGGAATAACCAGGCACAAATACAAACTGCAAACAAATGGCTACATTCAGTTTCACTTGTCTAATTTATTAAATGTCAAGAAATAATAAATCATTACCTGCATTACACATGGAGTAATCACCTGAATCAGAGGGGATTATAAGAAGTTCAAATAAATGGCCGCAGAATAAAATACTGTTATTTATAAGCTGATTAAGGTTCTTGGTCTGCATGTCTAGGTGGTTTAATTAATGTTTCTCTCCCTTATCATTAAAAAGTATCTCCACTGTGTGCCGAAGTCTGTATTTCAGAGGCACATACAGCTTCCTTTCTTTGATTAACTTCTCTGACACATATCCTCTCGTCCCCGTCGTCACAGTGCTGGCGTGTGTGGAAGCTGCTGTGGGCTGGTGCACAGCGAATTCCGGGCCACCAACGGGGACTCCCTGGCACTCAACTGCACCTTCCAGGTGCCAGACGAGTCTAGGGTTCGAGTGACCTGGTCTCATCGTAATGGATCCCAGGCAGGCCGTGTGCTAGTGTCCTCCAGTATTCGAGACAATAGAAGAAACGTATCAGAGGATCGGAACCCCAAAGAGCTGGTGTATCGGGAGGTGGGACACAGTTGGTCCAGACTGACTCTAAGGAATACTAGCTTCAACAATCAAGGAATGTACTTCTGTGAGGTGACAGTGGAGATTCCACACCTAGAGAAATGCTCCGGCAATGGAACGAAAGTTATAATTGGTAATTTGGGAGACATAATGTCGCCACAATAGGTTGTAGTGGCACATCGGGCTGCAACAAATGAGAGTGAAAGAAAAACGTCATTTTACTTCTCCGTGAAATTGTGATGGCCGTGAACTAGCTTCCATACATCATATATTTATTATTGGCGAGGTCTCTAAAAAGAGTGATTGTAAACGTAGCGTGACAAAAAGTCTCACTTTACCACTTCCCTCCACAGAAACTTTGCCTCCAGCTGCAGAGGGTAAAGTAGAAGCTCCCTGTGGGCTCTGTGTGTGTCTGTATGTGCAAATGATTCGGGAGGAGAAGACAGGGCTGCAGTGAGGTCACAGAGGAGCATGTTCTGTATGCATGCTCTGTAACAGGAAAGAATCTGAAACATTGAACACTGAAAAAAATGAGAAAAATCCAACCTTTCATTGGAATAAATTTATTTGACGAAAGAACAAATCCTTCATTAAGAATAATTATTTTTAACAAAAACACATGTGCCACAATTATTGGCACCCCTGCAAATTATAGTGAACACAATGTAACTGAAGCATGTTTCCCCTGTAAATTGTACATCTTTGAGTTGATTGGAGTGAATAGGAACCTTCAAGCTGTAATCCATGACTTCCTGATTAACTGGGGTACAAACATGAGGAGACACAGAGGCCAAATTCCCTTAGTCATCCATCAACGTGGGAAAGATAAGAGAACACACAGACCAAATGAGGGAGAAGTGTGCTGACCTTCGTAAGTCAGGGAATGGGTATTAAAAAATAGCTACTCACCTTATAATGCCCATTTCTACTGTTAGGGTAATAATTAAAAAGTGGACATTAACTGGAACTGTTACAAACCTGCCTGGAAGAGGACCCAATTTTATTTAGCCCCCACATACAGTGAGGAGGATCATCAGACGGACAAAAAAATCCCCAAGGATGACTGTTGGTGAATTACAAGACAATGTAAAATCTTGGGGTTACCACGTCTCTGAAAAAACCATCAGATATCCCATTCATGCTAACAGATTATTTGAAAGGTATGACAGAAAGAAGTCTTTTTCTGTGAGTTACTTCAAATGTAAGTGCCATGAGTTTGCAAAACATTACTACAACTTTGACTGGAATCAAATTCAATGGTCTGATGAAACAAAAATGGAGCTTTTTGGCAATAAACATTCAAGGTGGGTTTGGTGTAAACAGAAGGATGGATATAATGAAAAGAACCTCATCCCAACTGTGAAATATGGTGGAGGTTCTGTGATGTTGTGGGGCTGTTTTTCCTTCAAAGGCCCTGGAAACCTCGTTAGGGTACATGGCACTCTGGACTCCATGAAATACCAGGACATTTTATATCAAAATTTGGCTGCCTCTGCCAGGAAACAAAAACTGGGCCTTCACTGGATCTTCCAGCAGGACAGTGATCCTAAGCACATGTCCAAATCAACATAAAAATGGTTAGCTGACCGCAGAATCAAGCTTCTGCCATGGCCATCTCAGTCCCCTGACCTGAACCCCACTGAAAACCTGTGGGCTGAGCTGAAGAGGAGAGTGTACAGGAGAGGGCTGAGGACCCTGGATGATCTGGAGAGATTCTGTAAAGAGGAATGGACTCAGATGCCCTGTTCTGTATTCTCCAACCTTATAAAATGTTATAGGAGAAGACTCAGCGCTGTTATACTGGCAAAGGGTGGTTGTACAAACTATTAAAAGCAGGGGTGCCAATAATTGTGGCACGTGTTTTTGTTGGAAATAATTATTTCTTGATGAAGGATTTGTTTTTCTTTGAATAAATTTATTTAAATGAAAGGTTGGATTTTTCTCATTTTTTCAGTGTGAGATGAAGCTGCTTTGCCAAAAGGTGGACATTTTTCTAACCCTTTTTACAAATTTTTACAAGGGGTGCCAATAATTGTGGAGGGCACTGTATACAGTGGTACTTCGGTTCTCGAACTTAATCCGTTGCAGACTCTGGACCGAATCCTAAAAAATTTGAGTTCTGATTGAATTTTTCCCATAAGAAGTAATGGAAAACCAATTAATTGTTTCCCGGCCCCCCAAAATTACACCTAAATATGTTTATTTTTTTTTTAGCATTTAAAAATAAAATGAACAGGATAAAACAAGAAAAGCATTTTTTTCTTAATGGCTTCCAAAACGATAAAGATCTTATCCCAACATTACCCCTGTCCTGCCCCGATAGTCCGCTCCTTCTGTGTGCCACGCCCCCTCGTTAACCTCGTGTGGGATCCCCATGTGATCGGCTGGTTGTTGTCATTAGTCCTCTGTACGCATGACGTTTGTATCCCAGGCAGTTCCGATGCGTAATCTGCTTTTTCTCCCGAATATCACCTAAAGTAGTGAGAACTGGTTTTCAGTTAATTTACCTGGTAAAATAAAGTTTAAATAAATTATATAAATGCTCTAATAGTACATGTAAGTTAGTGGTTTGTTTATTGTTAGTTACTGTAATGTTGCGCTGCTTTATTTCATTAATCGTCCAGTCTGTGAAGAAGGCATTCAAGTAAGAATTGCATTGTAGTATGACTCATTTCCTGGCGCGTACAATTTATATTACATCAGCGTTCATGGTTCGACTTCTGATATTCAGATCGAGTTCTAGGTCAAACTGGTTTGTTCGACTTTCAAGAAATTCGAGTTCTAGTGAGTTCGAGAACCGAGGTACCACTGTATTTATTTTGAATTGACCATTTATTCTTCCTGATTTCAAAGTCTATTTTTTTTGTTGTCAATGTTTTCTTTACATGACATCAGAGCTGTGGTAGTTGAGTCTGGCCTCAAGTCTCCATATGAATGGAGTAAGTCGTGTCACAGCTAATTTCTTGTATTAGGTCTTGACCCAGGCTCAAACATTCATTAATCACCCCCGCCCCCTCCCGCCATCCCTGATGGATTTCTATATTATCTTCAATTTTGTTCAACTTTGCACATCCACCCTCATGGTTTTATCACATCCTCATCTCTGGTGGTTCCAGGACCATTTTTAAATGTGTTCAGCGAGATTCATGTTACAATGGAGTGTATGATTAGTATGTGTTACAGAGGTATTAGGTGTGTTCCCCATACCTTGCTGTTTGACAAATCATTGGACGCTGCCACATCACTGCAAGACATGGAAAATCTTCTCTGTTTAAGAAGCAGCATGTACACTGTTTACTTATGTGTTTTTCAAGACTGTGGGTCAGATATGCTGCTGGTTTTATGGAATATTTCCCATGTTCCATATTTCTCACATTGTCCCTGCTTTGCCTTCAGGTACTTTTCTATGAGTCAAATGGCAGGAAAATGACAGGCAATTAAAAATCTGGAGTCAGATGAAGGGAAAGGTAACAATTCTTTGAAGGTTTTATGAGAAATAAGGGCATTTCAGCTGAATTTGCTAAGGTGAGTCTTATTTAAACAAAGGTCATATGCACAGTGGCCGTAGCGCCCCAGTTTGACCGATCGGCACCAAAGTCAGAGGGCCTATTTGTGGTCCAGTGCTACATGAGTGGGTCAAATTTGGTGAGGATTGGCTGAAGCATGTCTGAGATGTAGCTGCTTGCTTGAAATGAGCATGAAAATGGTGCAGGTTTGGTGTGGCTGGTGGCCATACTGTACAGGCAGGTCAAGGTATTTTTATAAATCATCTATAAGGGCAGTGTCTTGATTGACTTGCCACCAGAATGACCTAGGTGTGGTGGACATTGTAGGAGTTATAGGAATATGTAATTTATGGATTTTGACCAGTAATGTGTCACTTAAACAGTAATGAGAAAAATGTAAGCTGCACTGGTTTTCTAGGTTTAAACAGACACGTTACAGTGCTGTAACACCCCCGTTTAACCGATTGGCACGACATTTGGAGGTCCCTTGCCCAGTACTGTCCTACAGGACATATTCAAGTTTGGTGATGATTGGCTGAGGCAGGCCTGAGATATAGCAGTCTGATTGCAATGGGCGTGGCACCTGTATGGTTTGGGTGTGGCTATGGGCCGTACCTTACAGAAAGTTTAGAATTTTTCTTATAATTATTTATAAGGACTGTCTCCTGATTTGAATGATATCAGATTTACATAGGTTGGGTGAAAATCCTAGGACAAGTGTGAAAAGTCCTGCCAATAAATGCCAGCTGTACCAAAACAGCCACCAAAAATCACCAAATTTCTCACACACATATCTGCTCATAAACACCTTCACCTGACAAAAAATCAAAACCGAAATACTAGGAATATGGACTTTATCTTACGTTCATAAAGACTTTAAGCTTTTCTTTGCAGCCACTTCAGATTAATATTTTATTAGTACCATTTGTAATAGTTGTTATATATTCGGCTATCCATCTCCCCCAAAAACTTATTAGGATTGGTACGAAAATATGCTTATAATTACAGATGAAATGGATGCTTCAGAGAGCAAATTGAAAGATTGTGGGAAGAAACTGCAAAGGTGGCAGCTCTTTCTCAGTGCGACATTGATAAAGATACGTTTCGCAAACATCGGGGAACTTATAAAGGAGCAGGCGACAAACGAATATATCAAATACCAATATAAAAACACCTTTACGTCTTCTTTCACATGTTCAATGGAGCGTTAAGAGCGGGAAGTGGGATTCGACACATTTGCTTGTTTTTATTTAAGTTTTGCTTGTTTGTATTCAAAGTGGCGGTTTTGACGTTGCTAAGATTCTAAAACACGTACTAATCGGATCATTACGTAGTTTGAATCTGAATTCCAGAACCTCGAAATGGCATTTATGCTACCTCGAAAAATTCAGTTCGCAAATTCAATTTCAATCTAGTGTGACACGCATAACTCGAAATAGCATTTATCCTACCTCGAAAAATTCAGTTCGCAAATTCAATTTCAATCTAGTGTGACACACATCCGGGTCCTTGAGAAAAGGTAATCCACCGCAGATTCACAACGCAACTCATTTCCACGTTTACTACAGTTCTGCAGGTCGGGGTAAAGAGGAGGCGTGTGCCGGGGTGTAGCAAGCGCAAATGCGGGATCATATACGTAATAAAAAATTAAGCAGTACCGGCACTGCTATATCTTAATCTTTATCGTATTCAGTTTTGTAATGCGGATAACTGCAGATTCAAATACACAAAATTCATATTCACTTTCTAGTGGCACAAATATCAGTCCATACACTAGTCTCTTTGCTTTTGAAAGACTTGGATGTATCTTTCTGCTTCTCCATTTGTTTACCTAAACTGTAGAAACCTGCTTATCTCATAATACACTTTTTTGCAGTGGTTAAACACTGATAGTATGTTGATCAGACAGGTGATGTGTCCTACATAGCGATAAACTGTTTATCATGGACTAATGCCTCTTCCACCCATAAAATGATTTCTTCGTCTCTTTCTGTCAGCAATGGCAATGCCTTCCATATTCCCTATCCTCCTGATATTCTCCCTGGTGGGCTGCAGCTCTGCAGAGGATGAGGCTTCTCCTCGAGGCTGTGGCCACCTGAAGAGGCCCTTCACTGCACTATGTGATCTGGATGCAGTGTGGGGCGTGGCGGTTGCAGTGGCGGCAGGTGTGGCAGTCCTGGCCTCACTGATCCTGGCCCTGGTGCTGTTGTGCCGCTTGCGGCGCATCACAGAGCCTGAGGCACGCAGTGGGGTGGCACCGCTGTTCCTACTACTTGCCACCATCTGCATGATCTCTGCTCTCAGCTTTACACACATCATTGAGAGTCAGGAGCATGTTTGTATTGCTCGGCACGTGCTCTGGGTGGTGCTGTGTGTCCTGAGCATTGTTTACAAAGCAACCAAGGGTATGCAACTGCTCCGGCACACCAACTTCAGGGCCCTGGCATCACTGGTGATAGGCCTGGCTGTAGTACCAGCTATGGCCATGTTGGAGTGGATTCTGTCAATTGTGCATCATCCAGGCCAACCAGTCTGCCAGTACCAGCCACTGCATAGCACCTTGGCCTGCATTTATGGACTGGCCCTGCTGATTGCACTGCCGATGACCTTGGCCGGGGACTTGTCTCAGGGGCAGGTGCAGATGCAATGCAGGGTGTTGTGGCTGCTCTTCATGAGCTGCACCTCTGGTGTGCTGTGGACCGTCTGGCTGGCCTACTATAACTATTTGAAAAAGACACCTGGCCAGTCTTCCACTTTGGAGGACCAGTTGCAGGCAGAGGCGCTGGTGGTACAGGCCTGGTTGTTGCTTTTGCTCCACGTCGCCCCTGAAGCCCATGTCTGCCTGCGTCCACCTCCACGGGCCTCAGATCCTGAAGACGTCGGCCCCGCACCAGCCTCGCCCCACCCGAGGGAGGCCGGTGTTGAACATGTGGAAGTGTGGACCACTGGGCAAATTGTGGAGAGCCAAGGCTCCGTGTTGCACAGCAACTCAGGTACAATACTTTCTTTTCACCACTTTGACCTGCGGTGTGTCTGTGTTTGAGAGAGAGCATAACCCTCACTGTTTCCTCCCACTCTTACGTGAAGCTGGTTCTGGAAGTACAGGTGATGGAAGTGTAGAACCAAGACCCAGCACTTCCTACCACATAGAGATGTACAATGAAAACATGGTGAGTACACCTCCTCATTCAGCAGCTCACAGACAGAAACCCAAACACTGAACTGAAAATACATGTGCGGTCTACAGGCCTTTCACTGTTCCTCAGACTTTACCTGATTTCAGCTTAAATACCATGGATGCAGGTCGAATTAAAACTGGGCTGTACCCCCATCAGTCCGAGTTACATTGTGCTGTTAAGGGGGTGCATGTATACACAAGTACCACCTCAGCAACCTCAGTCAAAAATTTCAAGTGTCACCATTGAACTGCTGAAGGATGTTTAAATGGTCATTAAATACCTGTCTCTCATCTGCAGGAGCCCATGCCCTCCACCTCCACAGCCTGGCAGTTTTGGTGAATGTTGGTGTGGGGAAGACCAGTTGTCTGTCTCCAGGATTTCATGTACCAGTACAATCTATGCATGAATAAAATATATAATGTATATAATCATCTGATATGATTTGGTGTGTTTTTTTGTCTAAAGGGTTACACAAGAATTTAATTTTATTCATCCTACTATATATGAGAGAATTCATATAGGGCAGCGGTCACTAAGGGTGCTTTCACACCTGCCTCATTTAGTTCGGTTGAATCGCATGCACTAGAGTTCGTTTTCCTACTTGGTGCGGTTCGTTTGGGCAGGTGTGAATGTAACAATCGCACCCGAGTGCGCACCAAAAGCGTACCGAGACCTCCTTGAAGAGGTGGTCTCGGTACGCTTTCAAACGAACACTGGAGCGGTTCGTTTGTGGTGAGAACATGATCCGAACTCGAACAGACCCAACTGCAAAAAGTTTTTCAGCCGCATCCGCGCTTCTTTCTCGAAATGTATAGTTTGTCTAAAGTGATGTATACAAACTATATGGTATACGATGACCAGCGATACAATCAGCCAGCGCAGTCGTCCCTCCATACTAAATAGCGGCATGTTGTCTACCGGCTTTGTTTACTTCCGGGAGTTTCATTGGAATTTTCCCACAAGTTAATTCTGACCAATTAAAAAGCAGTTCAC